ATACGGCAACACCATAGGATACTAATTACATATTCGGAACATTAACATATTCGGAATGTTTTTAATTTTTCCCAAAATTGACGTAACATCTTTACATTAAATTTAGCAGACAGACAGAAAATTCAATATTTTCCTTTAGCACGATAGCTCTGAGAACAGTTACTTGTACATAGAACAACAACCTACTGGTTATACAGTAACTTTCGAATTTATCAATTTCTTATCAACAGGTTAAAATGAAATATTTCATGCAACAAAATTTCGATGCAAGAGTGGCCTGATTTTTGCATATCTACCGTTATTGCGGTGTTTCGATACGACGACGCGACGTTCGATCATTTTTCACGGCGACGGAAACATAGAGGAGAAGGAAGAAAAAGCGGAGAGCAGCGCGCGACGACTGATCTTTCTTCGCCGTTTGCTGGATAGATGGATAAACGGTTACTCGCAAATATTCCCCGGTCCTCGATCATCGTCGTCGCCGATCTGCCAAGACGGCGGATAGAAACGAAAATGGAGTTTACGAAACTATCCGCCGTAGACGATAGAAACTAAATCGAGTTTCCACGGTCACCGCAACCATTTGTCATTAGAGGGAATTCAGAGGGCGGTCCCTTGTTGTCCTTCCAGACATTTCTTGATTACACTTCATTCCACCGAAGAAATCCACCGTCACTGACCTTTCCTACCGTGTTTCCCCTTGTCCCTTCTCGCGTCCTGGATCAACCGAGGAATAATAGGGGATCAACGATACTAGCCATCTTCCACCAAGGTCCTCGATCATATTTACGAGCTCTTCGTCCTGTAGAATCAGACGAAATTCTGTGTGTAGAGTATCTGTCATCGAAGAATTTTGATAGGGACAAATTCTAACAGAGAAGAATGTTTACTTTTACTTTGTAATATATTTGCAGTTATATAGGTACACCGGTAACTGCAATTGCAGAGGCAGATTTCTTTCTATAATAATGTTTTTCATTGTCTGATAAGGAATTGTACCGTTCTCTAGGGACACAAGACAAGATTTGGAAGACTTGGAGATTATACAACCCCGAATCAGACCAATCTAGCATCGTGAGAGTAGTTTAGGCGGTGCCAGACTTTAAGTTTCACCGCATTGGGGACGTGGAACACAGATTTGGCTGACCACAGGGTCCCAGGACTCTTAAGAGTCTGGGTCACATTACTCAGAATATTATTTGGAAATTATTTCAGAAAATTATCTGCAAGTTTGCCTATTGTTTATTTCTCAAAGAATAACTTAGAATATTTGAAACTAGACTATCCCAAGATTATACCCGAGGAAGTTTCACGATCTTACGACAATATCCCGTTCCGTTAACTTTTCCATAATTTTAATCGTATCGCCGTCACGATTGGCCAAACGTGTTTCATTTCTACTTTCCCAGAAGTGAAGATTAAAAGAAAGCTTGGCGACGAAAAGAGCGCGCAGACCACGTCTGAAACGTTATTAAATTTTATTTCTTCGAGTCGCATGCGGGCTACCTGGCAGAAGTTCGCGAAAACTAATTTCAATCGTGTGGGTTTGGTCCAGGAAGGAAGTAAGGAGGCGAACTTTGTTGATAGTGGGTACGCGCGGCACGTTTCAACGTAAACGAGCGACGAGAAGAAGTAACTAAAAAAAGGTCGAAGTTAGTCCTTACAGAGGGGCACAATCCCGCCATTCAGGTTAATGCCTCGGTGATTAAACGTGGTATCGATCGAGTATGTGTGCGCGCACTTTTTGACACGAGAGAGAGAGAGAGAGAGAGTCGAAATTCGCGCACGCATTTTCAACGAAAAGTGGAGCATAAAAAAGGTATTCAAAAAGTGAATGACGCTTGTTGCAAGCTTGTTTCGTCCGGTTACGCGGTTATCGATCGCAACCAAGCACGTTCGATTCCTCGATTTTTCCAGTCACGAACTCTAAATCCTTTCATGCGAGCCGCTGATAAAATCGTTATAAAGGATCAGCCGTTACGGCCTTTATTATCGATTGAATTATTTCATAAATATGAAATGAAGCTACATAGTTGATGATTTCTATATGCTATTCCGAGAATAAAGAGCCAAACTATTTCAGTATATTCGAGGATAAAGCAACCTCGTTTTATTAGAGAAACATTAATTCCGCCTTCTAACTATAACATACGTTAATTGTGAAATTTATATGGGATGTTATGATTCTATGATAAGCTATTAATTCACGAATGATAAGAAATCCGACGTTTCACATTACACAACCTAATTACAGAACAGAACGAGACATTGCGAACGAAGTACACCAAAGTTCCTTTCTGCCTTACAGGCCCTTTTATTTGTAACTTCTGACTGGACGCAGAAATACAGCGTTAAAGTCCATGAAAAAATTCACGACAGTCTCGTGTTACATTAATCAAGTATCGCAAATATTCCATCGTTACACACTCGACCTCCGCGGTGAATAACACCCTTCTAACAAGCCCCTTTAATTATCAACGAAGACCAGGCTGCTTATCGAGCAACCACGAGATTCGAAGCTTGAATTTCTCAGGTGTCTCAAACAACGTTGTATACTTCGCTGTTAAATATTGAATAGCAACGAGATGCAGGCATAATGAAGGCATGCTCCTCTGGCAAAAGCAGTCGCTCGGAATTAGTCATTAGCCCGGGACAGGAGCAAAATCTAAAGACGGAAGTAAGGCTGCTGCTCGTTGTCAGCGTGTTTCATACTTTAGGATCAAGAACTGGGAGATTCGTATCTGGTAGAAAATTAATTAGAGCCTGCAAATTGGCCGAGGAGGCGTCATCACGCGCCATTAAAGGTCCTTGCGGCCAATCGTCGAGCCGCAATTGTTCTTGACCAGCCGCAAACCTCGCCACTCCGAGCATCGCTGTGAATCGACCTTCTGCCCGTTGTGGACGGAACCGCGCCGAAAAGTTCACGGACCGGCAAGAATAATTAATGGAAATTAGTTGCAAGCCTGCGTGACAAGTTAAGTCGACCCAACCTGGGTTCCTTGGCGAGCCGAAAATGGTAATAATGCTTTTTACGAGCGGCGTGAACGCTGCACGAATGTGATTCGGTGCAAAAGAATCGTGCATGGCTGAATCGAGAAATTATGTAGTAGCAATAATTCGCAGGCGACGTTGAATGCCCCGGTTTAACGTGGACAGAAATTCACGTTTACGCTATGGTTCGCGGATTTTAGCAGTGAAAGGCGCGCGATAAAATTCTCCAATTTACAAACTTTACGTCTTTATTGTATGAATTTCAAAATGGCCGATATAACGCGCGGTTAGGTAAGGCGGTTTTTATTTGTCGTTAAGGAGAATTGATTTGAAATTTAAACGCTCTGTTAGGCTATCGCCGCTGACGCGGAAGGGTTTAAACGCGGTCGTAATGTGTAAATGGCGAAACCAAGTGTCGCTTGTAATTACGCGAGATTCTCGCGGAAGGACATCCCACGTGTACGCTTCAGAATTAATAATATACAGCGTAATGAGAATTTCAAGCGAACGCGTCTCGCTGAAGAAGTAATAATTAACCGCGCGCGGCTTGCGTAATCTCCGCGTTTGAGGACTGTGGTCCATTTCGTATTAAAGGAGGTTTTTATTTCCAGCGAGACATTACCATCGGACATAATTGAAATTCCCGCCGCCCCTCCGTCCCGGCATCGTAAATTTCGCGAATTTTCACGTTCCACTTGAAAGCTGTTTAACATATAAATTGATTTCCTTGAGAAAATAATTACGATAAATAATTCATAACTGATAATTTACGACGAAGCGCATATGTACGTGCAAAAGTGAGCCAAGTCCTGACGAAGATTGTAGAAACGCTACCAGAAGTGCGAGTTTTATTCAAAACGGAACGCAAACGTATGCATTGGTTCAAGTAGTACTCGCTCTTACTTGACTCGAGCAGTTATGCAAGACGTGCCTCGCGAGGAGACGTCAAAGTCACGTCGCGTCGTGATTCTAAGTGTGTGCTATTTAGCTTTATCGGCGGTTTTGCTGTGCGCTAGGTAGTTTACTTCTCCCCCTCGTGTAGTTTCCATCGAAATTGTATTTAAGAGTGTCTCGTTGTTGTGCTGAAACGCAAGGGGAATCTACCGGCAGCCTTTACGTGCAACGAACAAACGGCGGAAAAATTGTCTGCTGCGTACATATATAAGAGTATCCTACACTACATTTTGTCCAACGTACGGCGTAAACCCGTGCACAGACTGTGAAAATTAAATAGCAGGTATGAAAAGAAATACGAAGAAAGTAAACTGACTTACATACACGTCGTGAAAGGTGTCATTCACATCATAACCTTTACAAACTTTCCATTTCCAAGCGACGACATTCGGAAGCACATATAAAAAACTCATTTCATAGCCTTCAAACAATACATCTTTCTTCCTTTGTCTCGTTTCCTAACTCTCCAAGCATATTCTTTACAAACATACACACACACACACGCACATGTATTCGCGCAGAACTTTTCTAATACATTTGAAGCTACACGAAAAGAAAAGGAAAGACAGATGGCGCTCGCATCGGCCGTACTTTTCAAACCCAGCGTCACCGTATCAAAGCATCTCCATAAATCTTCCATACGTGCGCGAACGTGTTTCAATTAAGCAGCATTTGCTATGAGCAAAAGAGTAACATGCTCAAAGAGCCAGTGCGCGTTAAACGTGTACGTTAATCCCCGGCCCTGTAGTAGCGTGAGACGACAAAGAGCGAAACGCTCGGGCTGTGTTCAACACAAAAAAAACACATTGTAAACGCGGCCTAGTGGCAATAGAGGTTAGAGTACGAAGCGTGCAGCATTTTTCGCGGTGACACGCCGAAGAAATTCAGGGGCATCGGGAGCTTCATATGGAGGGGTTTCGGAGGCCGAGTAGGGAGCTTGCGCCTAGCCAGGCCGACTGGTTCGAGCTTGCGAGCTTTCGAGCAGCAGCCAGTCGCCGGCTGCCGGGCCACGACCTCGCATCTCGCCCGGCTCGTGCTATTTTCTCTATCGAGATATCGCGACCACGTTTCCCGTGTCTCCTACCGTATACGCGAGTTAAACCCGTAATATCGTTCGATCTGCAAAAATACCTACCAGTTTTTCGTCGCAATTAACGTCGATAGTGACAAACTTCGATTAGAAATTTCGGTAGAATTCGACGTAACGGAAAAAGTTTCGACGGACGACAGTGTGAAAGTGTAACGAAGTCTTGGACAGCACAACAAGGAGAAGGCTCGTCCCAATTAGTGTGTCAAACGTTCTGCAAGACTTCCTCGAGGTGACGAATCGTCGTTTTGGCATGGCAAATGGGTGACAGACACGCGACTGCTGTTGATGGTGATTGACGGTGTTTTTCGGCATCGGGGGAACCATGTGAGGCTACGACCATGAGGGTGAGTACCACTTATACACTCTGTGTCTCTGTTTTTTACGCGACTCGAGGTTTTAACCTAAAATTCTCTAACGGTATAACGGCCGTATCGCGGTGTCATAAAAAGCATTTCCCAGTCGAGCGTAATGTAAATACAGGAAGACGGAATCGCGTTGTGCGCGAAAGGTCGTCGAAATGCCAGCACGAATTTTCTCTATTACCGCGTTTGCCCTGTGCGTTACCGCTTAAGCCCACCCGTTGCGCGCGCTGATTTATTGCCCGCCGAACGAGCCACGCAGCTTTGGGGTGTAATTATTTTCACGTGACTGCTGTCGGGATTAAACTCTCCCTCTACCGCGGTAGGACGTGTTTTTAAGCTATGCCCGTCCTACCTGCGTGTTAGTTCGACCATCAATTTATGCTGTTTGTTTTTTTCTCTACCTTTCGTTTTTGTTGCATCACGCTCGAAGAAGGAAAGTTTTCGAGTTTCTAGTGTCTCATCGGGTTTCTAGGTTATTCACCGCTCGGTTTTAATCGTAACGGTCGTAATATCTTCCAAAGTGTGTTGTTATTAAATAGTACAGGAATTCTTAGGTTTTCTTAGAAAGTACGGCTCAGTCGAGTTCTCGGAAACGAGGTTCTCATGTTTCCTTTTTTGTACGGTTTCGTGCAGCGAGTGTAAACAGTCTTGAGCCCGAGAGTTGTGGAATCTCGATAAACATTCGCGAGTTAAGAAATCCTTAGAACCTCGGAAATTAATTTATTATATCAACGTCATAAACTGAGCGTCTTGAACACCTATTTTTACGTCTGCCTTCGTGTTTCGTAAAAAAAAATTGTCAATCAGTAGGAACGCACAGGTTTAACGTTTATATATACACAAGCCGGAATAAAGCGACTCAACAAATGAAATGAAAGATAGGAAACATTTAACGGGAATGCATTTCATTGTAACATGAAATACTGTGTAAACTTTCAACAAGAACATGTTCAAAACACTTTCATGATATAATCTCGTAGTATCACTAGCATTGGCTGTTTGTTTGTGCGAAGTTTGTTATGTAATCCCGACGTGCCATTTATCGTTGTAACGCGTTCCAGACAAATGAACCCATAAATTCTATCGTTTCGTCCGTCTGCAGCGTTACCATTTACAGACTTTCTATTGATAAAAAAGATTCCTCTTCCTCGCTTTCGACAGTCATAATTGCGTATTACATTAACACAATGGCGACGGAGCGTTTGAAGCCGCGTCTGACATGGGTACCGGGTGATTTCATTCGTAACTTTTTAACTAATTAATATTTTTCAAAGAGAAATTTCGATGAAAGTGGTGAATTACTTTTTCGTAAAACGTATATACAATTGTTTTAATTCGTGAAACATCTTTCGTGGCATTTCTGCAGAGAAATGGAATTATTTATAGGGTTTATAAATTTATTTTCAAATACATACACTATTGGCCAAAAGTTTGGGATGCCTATGCAATGCAAGTTACCTGCACGAAAAATTTTCAGAAAATAATTGGCAATTTTAAAAACTTTTTAACCAACTTTTTACCGTTTAAATTATCCGAAATTAGGTACATTACTATTGATCTCAGCAGCGCCAATTTCAAATCTGCAAACAATTAGAAACTTTTAATATTCCAAACTTTTGGCCGAGGAGGTTAAAGTCATAGGTGGCGTAAGTCACAATTTCTTTATTCTGAGAAACAGAGAATGTTATTAAAAATGATGAAATAAATTCCACAGCATCAAATTTTAAAGCACTTATTTAGGCCCAAATTTTCGGAAATGTGACTTACTACGACTTTAACCAATTACGTATTTCCGCGTCATCCGGACTCAAGTCCGGAATTAAATATCAACTAACATTATTTCATATTAAATAATTAAACAACGAAAATAATAAATTAAAAACCGTACGCTTAAATGCCTCTCGTCTCAACAAGCTTCAAGTTCCAAACCGTCGCGCAACTTAGCCTTGAACTTGCACGGAAACCGCGTTCTCTCCTTAAATAAGATTCAAGACGAAGAATCGAGTTCCGTGTGCGTATTTGCAAGGTAAATGAAATCTTGTCGGATCGATTAAATCTATAATGAGGTAGCAGACGCTTAATTGGTGTTTTCCCAAGGAAAATACAGGAATCAATTGAGGGGTATCGAGGCTCGAGGGAGACGGTTCTCCTAATTTTCACGTAGTCACGATTTTCGTGAAGGGCTGCCAGGGGTTTATTGTCTCCGTCGAGGGGAATCGTTGCGCGAGCATGCTGCAATTAATCCTTGTTATCGATTTAACACTGTACGATCGATCGAACGACAGGTCGCAAACCGCGTCTCGCTAATTTCGCGAGTCGGCGGATAAGCTCGCGAGAACTTTTTCCCACTGTCAGCCTTGAGATAACGAAGTAACCGGCGAGATAAACGATAAGAGAAAGAAACCGAGATTCTGCCCGGAGAGTTTGTAAATTTCAGTTGAAACTTTCATCGCGTTACAGTTCTTATTATTATGACAGAAGGGAAGAGGATCGTTCGTGAAGCATCAGAGCTTCGCGTTTGTGCGCTTAATTAATTGCGAATCTGGACTTAATGGATGTCAGCGTGGAGCATTGTTTGTATGCTTGATTGGGACAGGGTAGTTAATGGTACTTATCTAGCCGTGTCCTGTGAACTGGGTATTATAATATATTCTTTAGAATCTGTTTAACCCTGATGTCAATAACCGGGCACCCTTTTGCATAATTCTCACTTAAAATATTTGATCTTCCATGAAAATATCCGGCCAGATCGTTATTTGGCACATTTCCTATCCGTGTTTGCCTCAAGTTTAGAATTTTCTTATCAGAAAGCTACTGAAATTGGACGATAAAGTAGACGACAATTCTGGTTATTGACATAAGGGTTAAACACCCCGATTCTCCCTCCTGTTATCTTCCAAATTCGCCCGAAATACCTGAAATGACGTTAAAAGGGCGTTGATTAAATTACAGTATCCCCCGTGAAAGTCTCGATATTTCGATAAATTTCTAAAACATCTCGGGGTGAAAATTGCAAGGTAGAGAAAGTTTCGTCGTCCTTCCCAATTCTATCACAATCACACCCTGTACAAACTATTATAGAAGGCAGTGGAACGTACTTCAGCTTATCCTTTACAGAATTTCGCCGATAGACAAAACCGTGGAGGGAAGCTCGCGCGCCCCCGAGTCCTTTTCCTCCAACTCGAGGCACGAGGACGAAGTTTCGGACGGTCGAGCAGAGAGAGAGCACCCGCTTCGAAACAAGTTCTTTCCAAGTTTCGTTTACCGACGAAACTCGCGGGAAATTCGATTAACAATCATCTCGCTTCCGGGAAGGGCAAGACGTTAATTGATAGATTGCGTAGTTTGCGTCTGGGAATATCTCGATCGACTATTTCCCTTCGCTCGAAACTTTTCCGCGGGCTTAATTAACCGAACCCTTTGGAACCCTAGACAGTGAAACTGTTTGACCGCGTTTTCCCTCCAACTATTGCGAGAAGATGGGAGGATAAGAGGGAGGTAGGGAATGATAAGGGTTGTTGGCCGTGAACCTTGAAGGAGACACGGCCGAGAGAAATTCTTACGACGACGACCGTGTGTTACTTCTCATTTGCAAAACGAGGCGAACACGCAGCGCAGGCTCTCTTACAAGTCATTTCGGCTGCGAGCGAACCGTAAATATCCTCGTATACGGCTCCCTTGAAAATATAGCGAGGCTAGGCTAGGCTCTCACTGTCTCACTCCTGGTTTTCCTTTGATCTGCATGTCGATACTGGAGCACACGTGCTGGTATTCTTTCGTAACAGCGGTGTTTGTTACCGTGATCTTATTTCTCGGTTGGAAGATATCACGATGGATGTTTCCCTATTGGTTGTTTAGTTTTAGGTTAAACTACGTTGTTCGGTTTTTTTAATATCTCCGTACATGTTCTGGTTTCGGGCTTGCGAAAGTTACCTTTATACATCTTTTTGTAGCTGCTAATGCGGAAAAAGGGCCAATCAACGCCTTTCCTAGAAAAAGGCCTCTTTCGCGAACCTTTATTGGCAGGTAGATAGAAGCGATGCAAGTCAACGGTGGGGCTGATCGGTCGCGTGGTTCGTGTTGAGGACACGACAAGCGGGTCACCGTGAAAACGGTTCTGTTTAATGGCGACAGACGTTGTCTGTGGGCACGGAATGTTTATGCACGGAAAAATTCGTGTGTGTCAGGTGTACCGGAGAGTTCTCTCCGTTTTTCAAATGAAAGAAAATAGTACATTTTCGATACATTTGTTAATATTTACTGAACTTTCCATCGTTACTATTCACCTCTTCCATTTCCATTTCTGTGGAATGACTGTTCTTTGGATCTTGAGATGACATCGGACAGAACTTTCCGGTAGACCTGATATATTAACCCTTTCGCGACGGCGGAACTAGCCATCGGTACGCCACTAACAAACGGGTCGAACAGCAGAGGACTTGAGGGTGTATCGGATAAAGGGAATGTTGTTGAGGCTTTGTTCTGTATTTTAAGATCGGTCGCGTGGTTCGTGTTGAGGACACGACAAGCGGGTCACCGTGAAAACGGTTCTGTTTAATGGCGACAGACGTTGTCTGTGGGCACGGAATGTTTATGCACGGAAAAATTCGTGTGTGTCAGGTGTACCGGAGAGTTCTCTCCGTTTTTCAAATGAAAGAAAATAGTACATTTTCGATACATTTGTTAATATTTACTGAACTTTCCATCGTTACTATTCACCTCTTCCATTTCCATTTCTGTGGAATGACTGTTCTTTGGATCTTGAGATGACATCGGACAGAACTTTCCGGTAGACCTGATATATTAACCCTTTCGCGACGGCGGAACTAGCCATTGGTACGCCACTAACGAACGGGTCGTCGTGCCGTTAGTGACACTATACGCATTAAGAGTGTCTCACGTTTTTTCAAATCTTAGAGGATTTCGTTGGAACAGCAGAGGGCTTAAGGGTGTATCGGATGAAGGAAATGTTGTTGAGGCCT